AGAGGAGAGAGAGAGAGAGAGAGAGAGAGAGAGAGAGAGAGAGAGAGAGAGAGAGAGAGAGAGAGAGAGAGAGAGAGAGAGAGAGAGTGTGTGTGTGTGTGTGTGTGTGTGTGTGTGTGTGTGTGTGTGTGTGTGTGTGTGTGTGTGTGTGTGTGTGTGTGTGTGTGTGTGCGTGTGTGTTTTATACGTAGAAGCAATTTTTTTCTAAGCACACCATAAAAAAAAATTGAACATGCTTACATTTCCTCATTGCAATATATCAAATGAAAATTCACAAAAAAAGGATTTTGTACCTTGTATTTATAAATATATTTGATATTACTGTTAATAAATATTACAAGAGGAATAGAATACATGCTTTCATGCAATATATGGACAGCATGATTTCATAGCTGCAAGGCATGCAATTTTCATTCTCTTGTTTTTTTGAAGCACACCTTTACAAATCCTGGCAGCAATAAGAAATTAGGTCTTTGGAATGTTATTCAACTGATAGTTAATTATCTTACAGTACTGCACATAGTCCTTATGTTCATGCGACTGGATTCTTGAACTAGCTTACAGTTTAATTCAACTGACTGCAGCAAGTAACGTTTCATAAATTATAGACTTTGATTCAACTTCTGTGGTTGTACAGGTCTCTGGAAATTGAAGCCATCAGTACATTAACACAACACACTGATCCATACTTTTTGCTATTAGGAAAGTGGAAACTGTCAGAGAATCTCATACCATGAGATTCATATATACTGTATACAGCTAAGTTCATACATATAATGGATATATCCTTTGATGACATCTACAAAACAATAAAGAGGTCTCAAGTGTATTTATGTGTTAGCACCTAAAGTTAGGATTCAAGTTCTGAATACTAGCGGGGATGGGGGACATTATTAAATGAAAGTTAAATAAAAAGGACAACCTTTACCTTATTGCAATTGTGTATTTAAAGCACTTCTTGAGAAATGATGACTGACATGTTAGCACAAATATAAATGGAATGTGATGCTGGTCTTTTCTACTTGTATATCTTAGATAGGTTTCCAAATTCCCATATCAAAAGAACCATCACTGAGAAAAATGTCAGAAGATTAATGAGTTATGAAGTTATATTAATAGCTGCAATTTTCTAAGCTGAGGTCATTAAAATTTGCATTGTGAATACATATTCAAGACAGTTGAATCAAATTATTCTATACTCAGTGATGCAGTCATTCCATGATTATCATGAAAAAAAAATGATATATCATTTTACAATACAATCATTCACATTTTACATGATAAAACAAAATAAAGCCTCACCCAATGATAGTCTAATACAATCAATGCTTCAATACATAATATGATATACAGATATGTAAATATATATTTTTTGCCCTCTCATGTTGCCTGAAAGTATTGTTACTGTACTTCTGTGTGTTATATGTATACATTCTATACACTACACACACTAAATGTTGCCTCACATCAAACAAATCTCAAACACTATCTCTGGAATGTGCACTGCACTTCTGAAACTGATTTCACATACCCTGGTGTACTGGGAAGCTTATGTTATGAATCATTCTGCATATCAAAAAGGATATGGTAATGTATATCCTCCATTGAAACATGCAGTTCAAACAAAAATCTGAGTAAAATAATATACTGAATATATTACTTTTCATGATACAAGAAAATGAGTTAATCACATAGGTAACAATACATCACTGTAGTAAACCAGGAATATACAATGCTAACATATCACACAAAAGATTCCAGATGGCTGATTTAAATAGGTGTTTCCAAAAACCAATATCACACTGAATTTGTTTCAAGAATCCTGCATTCTAAATGTATACATTTTATTTCTTTTTCTATAAAGAAAATAAACTTTGAAGAAACTACAATTCGCATTGTAAATATAACTTTACAGTGATCATTCTGTTGTTCTGTTTACATGCTCTCTCACTGGCATATGAGAAGTGCTTCCCTTACAATATACAAACACATTGAACACTTGTCCACAAATAATGCTAAACCCTTTCTTTATGCACTTGAGCACTATGTTATTCTGAACAACATGATAACAATATATTTACATGAGCATGTATATAAATATGCTTTGTATGTGTGTGAAACAAATTTCCATTAAATATTCATCATCTAGTACAATATAAATATCTTAAATATTTAAATGGAAATAGCACGTTTTTGAGGCAAGCTTTTAGACTGCACTGCTGCCCAAGATCTACATTCATTCCAAATACTGTAAGAGTATAACAAAGATTCCTCCTTCCAACTACTTTGGTGGGTATACAGTGATATATGAAATAAAAAAATTGCTGAAGCATCTACTGGAAAAAATCTAAGAAAAACTACTTGTTTATCTACTTGTGTAAATTTCTAAAATAAAATCATATGATGAAAATGATTCCATTAAAAACCTACTCTAATTCAATAATTAGGAAGAGAAAATAGAGAATACTGAAATAAACAACAATCATCTACATCAAACTTTGAAAAAGAAAAGAAAGAAAAGAAAAATACATAATCAGTTGTGTACTTATCTCTGTAGAAAATCTGAGACCAACAATTATGATCACTTGTCATGAACAACATGCTTTACTCTAATTTCAAAATACGATTAGCTAAAAGCTTTGTTATCCATGACAAACTTTCAAAATTCTTGACCACTTAAAAATGTGTTTCAGGGTGCATCTAATACGACCTACTGCTCTATTACCAGCTCTGTGCTTTTAGGTCTACAAAGTCTATGTAAGGCTCTCTTTACAATTGTATTCAAGGAATCCTAAGTTGCCTTTTACTGACATAGTGCCAGACATCAAACAGTTCATCTTTAGAGTAAAATCTAGTTACATATCATAAATCTGTCAATCTAAAGGTAAATGCCAGTATTTCTTATTGTGTGTCCAACACTCATGATATATATAATATGGCAACTTCATGCTATGCTAAGACTATATTGTGCATTGGCCTTAAACAACTGTTTTGGCTTATGTAAAGACTGCACATTTTATATATAACAAAGCTGCCAGTATGGGAAAATGTCCATGTATTTATGATTTGACTGACATTTCCAAAATCAGGGTTTTGTACAAGATAAATGTAATATAAATCATATAACAACATATTTCTGTAAGCAAAGGTATACTTAAGAAAACATCATGAGTAAACAATCATTTTTCAGTGACAATCAATCTAGTGCTTTCCTTTTCTTTGTAAATGTGTCATCTTCTTAAAGGCTCTACTACTCTACAAATCACAGATACTCCAGTCATCTTGTCAAATGATTTAGTTGAATTCATTTATAGTTTTCTTCATAAAAATGGACCTATTGTTAAAAAATTTAATAATCAACAAGTTAGTGTGAATGGCTGATATAAGCCCCAGAAAACCTAAGAAAACAGAAATGCCACAGCCAGTGTAAAAACCTTAAGAGTTCTATTCTTGAAGTCTTTAACACCAGCTTGAATACAGCAAGTAATAGTCAGTTCAGCACAGTCCTACTATGTGGAGACAAGGAGATTTTGAGGAAAGGAAGACTGTGAGACTCCCAGACCCAGTTTGAGAAATTGAGTAATAGACCTACAACCAGGTGCAGGATTAGATAAATTTTGCTCTCATATTGAGCAAAGTATATAAAGCCATAACATTTTTTAATTTAGTAATTTCTTAAAATTTCCAACTTCTTCAAACACACTTGCATCTACATCTTCTATTCTAAAATTGATTATCCTGAAATATTTACATCAGCAGTTTTATCCATATGTTTGAATATTGTTATTTTTTTTCTTAATATGTGTCTGTGGTATCTTGCCTTCCTAACTTCTTTTGCTTACTACATGACAAAGAAGCCATATAAATTTTGTAATTACAAAGAGTAGAAAAATATGAAATAATTCAGAAATATTCTCAACTAAATGTTCTTTCCCTGAAATATCAAGTTTAGTAGACATGCTTGTAATTGAGTAAGCATGAGATGTGCACACGTAGCTTTGATGACTGTAATTTGATTCTATGATGTTTACTGCCTATAAATCATGTATTTCCTTTTCATTCTATCTTTAGTTTATGTGCTAAACTCTGCACATACTCCGCTGATCCTATAATCAAGGGCTGCCCACCTGCAACCTTCACAATCTGTACAGCACAAACTTTTTGAATCCGTAAATTTGTTGAGCAAAATATCTTTACTGGGGTAAGATTATTTCAGTCAATATTCAAGTTTAAAATACACAGCAAGCAATATGGAAACCTCTTTACTTTGAATCCTTTCCTCGAAATCCTTGGAACCATATACCCTATTTTATTTTTCCCCTGTGGATATACCATAAAAATTTGTTACAACATTTTGCATGTCCACTCTTTACCTTGTTGACTCTGTATGAGTGTGTGTGTGTGTGTGTGTGTGTGTGTGTGTGTGTGTGTGTGTGTGTGTGTGTGTGTGTGTGTGTGTGTGTGTGTGTGTGTGTGTGTGTGTGTGTGAGTGTGAGTGAGTGAGTGTGAGTGAGTGTGAGTGTGAGTGTGTGTGAGTGTGCAGTGTGAGTGTGAGTGTGTGTGAGTGTGAGTGTGAGTGTGAGTGTGTGTGTGTGTGTGTGTGTGTGTGTGTGTGTGTGTCACACGCACATATGCTGCTGTGCATGGGTTGTTGTACTTGTGTGTAGCTTAATCATAACACTGCAATCTGTTACATCCATTTATTTAAAAAAGAAGCAAAAAATCTGAAGTTATAAATAAGTATACTCTAGTAAGAGAGCCAAATTTAGGAAAATCTATATAGAAAAGAGCATGATGCAAATCATAAATGAGGGACAAACTCCCTATAATACTTCCTTTCAATAACTGTTTCTTCAAAAAGGAACAACTTGTGGGAGGGGGGAGAGAGGGGGGAGAGAAAGAGAGGAGAGAGAGAGAGAGAGAGAGAGAGAGAGAGAGAGAGAGAGAGAGAGAGAGAGAGAGAGAGAGAGAGAGAGAGAGAGAGAGAGAGAGAGAGAGAGAGAGAGAGAGAGAGAGAGAGAGAGAGAGAGAGAGAGAGAGAGAGAGAGAGAGAGAGAGATATACATATAGTATATGTTATTTGCTAATTGTTATATTTCATGTTTAGCACCATATCATCTTTTCTAATTTCACATATATTGTATCATTCCATCATCTCTGTATCTGAACCTCTCCAAATAATGCTATTTCTATATATGAATGATATAATAAATATCATATATTCCTATTAGTAACTTATGCTACCTGAGTCAACCTTGTACCCATTTGACTTCTAAAGTGCACGTTCAACCAGGGCATTATTCACAACACATAAGCTCAACTTTCCTGAAACCTGTACTGTATGTACCTCCAACCAATGAATAACAAGCACAGTATCTATTCCAGATCATGTTTTCAAGACTGCATTCGCCAGATCATAAACTATTCCACACAATCTTTGATAATAACAGAGACAGCATTATAAGGAGCACCTGATAACACAATAACACAATGCATGTTACAATAGGATGTCTAACATGATGAATAATGCAAAACATGAAAGTATGTAAATAACAAGAGTTCCTCATAACTAATGTTAATAAGAAATTGTAAAAAAGAGAAAAAATGAAGATATAGAAGAAAAAACAGTTGAAGAAAAAATACTAGACAAGTAGAGAACTGAGAAAAACAAAAACAAAAGAAATGGAAAGACACAAGAGCTTTAGTAACCAGCATGAAGATGAAAATAATAACGATAATAATAAATAAATAATACCTGCATTTAAAACATTTGTACAGAATACATGATCAGGTAAACTACCCATAGTGGCACTTTTCTTCCTCTGACTGTAATAGTGAACAGCATAACAAGTATATGAGATTCTGTGTGATGCACCCAGACATAGCATGAACTAAAGGCAGAATAATCAGGCATGGAAACAATCTGCATAATAGGAACAAAATGAATCCAATTCTTTATGGTAAACATCCCTTAACACTTATCTAGATCTGTTGAAAGAAGGTCATCATGTTACTATGTCATATGCTGCAATAGACTGTGTAAAAAAAAAAAAAAATAATAATAATAATTTACATAAAACAATGCAGCAATTGCAAAACATCTAACAAAAGATTCCCTCTATCAGATCAAACAACAAGAAAGATGTTGTGTGGCATGAAAAAAAAAAAAAAAAAAAAAAAAAGAAAGAGAGAAAGAAAAATCTTCTTTTTCAGCCATGTACATGAAAGGAGAGAAAGAGAGAGAGAGAGAGAGACCATCTGAGAATGGAATGTTAATCACAGTAAAAGGATTCAGTCTCGAGTTTGAATATACAAGAAAATTGCCTTTTTTTCCTATTCCCTTTTTACGTGTAAAAAAACTCATTCCCTGTGAGGGAAAATACTAATGTCAAATATTTTGACAAATGTTAAAATACATTATATTTGTCACTAAAAAGAATTTTGCCCCAATCCACTTCTTTTTATTAAAACTTTGGGAAATTAATACTATACAGGAGACTTTACTGATAAAAGACTCCAAGTCCATAAAACTATAACAATTTGGATGAGTAAACAATCTACCCAGCACCTGTGGCTATGAGCGTATCTTCTCCACTAGCCACTGTATCAGTGAGTAAAAAATGAGAGCAACGAGAATCGAAGCCCAAGACTGAGTGGATAAAGGACTTGCGGATTCCTGAGAAGTAGAAGCGCGCAAAGCAGCCCGATGCTTGGGACTGTCCATGGCTGATAGGCGGCGGTGCAGACCATCTACATCTTGGCGTAAACCCTTCATTTCTGTTATGAGACTATCTTGCGTTACCAACATCTTATTGAGAGCTTCAAGGATGCTGCAGGAATAAAACAAATTTAGAATCATACACTATGACATATTTGTGGAAATCTCATTTCTCTTGCCTTCTAAGCTTATGCATAGAGAACTAGAAAAATCATAAACTTCTTTAAAGATTACCACATCTTAATACAACCAAAGCAATTGGCATTCACAATGCTGCAGTGGATGAGTTTAATACACACCTGGGTGATAATGAGTGACTCTGTCTTTTGGCTGGCAGAGGTACTGTGCTTGCAGGACGCTCAGGCATATCCTGAAGGTCATCATGGTCACCAGAACTCGTTTCTTCAGCTGCTGCTAGTTCCAACACTCCTCTTAGTCTCTGCACTCCATCCTTGCGCACAACCTATGGAAAAAATCAGTTAAAACAATGTATGACAATCAGAGGTTTCTGCACCTACATCCCTATTCATAATATCATTATTGTTGTAGTGCCTCTAATATGTCACATTGAAGTTTGTTTCCTCACTTTTACAAACTCAAGGAAAACTGTTGTAATACAAATTCTTTACTGTCAGATGTATTAACCTTTAAAACCATCACGGTGTCAAAGACAACTTTATAACCCACCTCACACTTTGGATCCACACTGACAATAGATGCTGTCCTTATCATTGGTGCTTTATGCCTTGTCTTGGTTGATATTATATAATTGAACTCGTACTGGAAGAGATCTGTTCTTGGGTCCCAAGGTCGAAGATCTGAGTGCTTGTAAACATAAACTCCACTCACTGGTTCCTGTTGAAAGATTTAAACATACAATGAGAAACTGAGTAATTGAAGAAGGTCCATGAAAATTAGGAGACTTTATTTCTAACAAGCCTGAGCAAAAGCTGTTACATGCTAATTACCTTCAATTTACCTTTTTCTTCCCTAAGATATTATTATGACTTACCTGCGTAAAATACTTAGGAACCCACTCTTCACATTTTGCTTTCCTTTCTCTGGCTTCACTGCGTTGGGCCTCTTCCAAAATGGTTTTCTCTTCTGTAGCTGCAACCTGTAAAGTGAAATGACAGCTGTGTACACTATAAATCCTATTGTAATAAACATTAATAAGCAGAGAAAAGTAGATGGGGGATGGGGAATGGGGGAGGGGGATGGGGAGGGAGGGAGGGAGGGAGGGAGGGAGGGAGGGAGGGAGAGAGAGAGAGGGAGGGGAAGGGAGAGGGGAGGGAGGGGAGGGGAGAGAGAGAGAGAGAGAGAGAGGAGAGGAGAGAGAGAGAGAGAGAGAGAGAGAGAGAGAGAGAGAGAGAGAGAGGAGAGAGAGAGAGAGAGAAGAGAGAGAGAGAGAGAGAGAGAGAGAGAGAGAGAGAGAGTATGCTACAGTCACTCTAGTATATGTAAATATTACCACTTATTATTCATGCACCAATCTACTGGAAGTTTTGTGTTTCTTATTTTGCAGCTTTCTTGCAATCTGCCATCTGATGCTGTAACTTGCTATTAATTACACAAAAACAATGTTGCATCAAAACATTTCCACTCTCCTACCTGATCATCATTCTTGATGGCTAATGAAACTAATTGCCATAATTTTTCTGACTCAAATGATCCTTGCTGGTCCATAGCCACTGTGAATCGCTGGAGCCGCTGCATCTTCACCTCTGGGGTCGCATGCCACAACACCTCCTCCTCCTGTTGGTCAAAGATCCAAGAGCTCTCATAAGTGAGTGGTGAATGAACAAAGTGAACAAAATTCATATTTTGTACAGTTGGGGACGATCCTGTTCAGTCTAGCTAAAGGCCGGATCAAACTTACACAGAATAAACGGAATAGAAAAGGAGAAGATCGCAAAACAGAAAGATATTTAAAGACATATATATAGATGAAAAAGAAGAAAAAAATGAAGAGGAATAAAGATAGAAAGGAGGAGAGGACGAAGAAAAGAGTGATAGAGATACATAAATATAGTAAGACAAAGATAAAAAAATATATTCAATATACTTAATCTTATAATTCCTCAATTCTACATTTAAAAAATCCTCTGGGAAATTAAGTAAAATCACCCTCAGCTGGAAAATAAATACAAATATTTTCCCTTTGAAATCTTTTCAGTCCTTTGTATTTCAACTTTCACTGAGCTTTCCTGTATCCTTACATTCAGTTCACTAACCTATTCCTCTATTAATCAATCCCTTTACAAGGTGACTAAGACAGATGAGATATCTAGAATTCATATTTCTTTTCTTATGATAAATACCTCAATTCACTAAATTCTTAACTAAGTCTTTAATATTAACCATGTTTTGCATATGTATTTTTTCAGTTCTATACAAAAAGTAACCCTGCAGTACCTATTCTACTTTAAATATTTTGCATAAAAGAAGTTATAGCAAAGGTAATAATATTCATCCTTCTTTATATATTTTCTCTCCTCCCTTCTGATATACAACTAACTGTATTCAGACTTTTATTGTTACACTTTTACATATAACTTATGTATGTCAACTGATCTAATATATTTCCATGTGCAACATTCTCCAGAGCAAAGGGGTTGCAAGTTATATACCCCATTCCACTAGTGTGCAAGACAACTGTTACTAAATAGCAAGAAAATTGGTTTCCATACATTTATTTTCATGTGCAAATGTGCATGTACAAACATAACAATTACTTATTACTATGCATATCCATACAAGCACACAAACACACACACACACATACACAAGCCTACATGCATGCTTGCATACACACATGCATGAACACTTATCTAATCTTCCTTACACTTTTTCACACACAAAACCATACACAGACAGTCCATTTCTGTCTTTGGGGTCTGTCCATCTGTGTTTATTGGTCTTTCTCCATCTTTCCACAACACAATGCACAAAATAATTGCAATTGTTAACTGAGTACCGTGACAATATAAAACACAAGATTTCAGGAAGATGCTTGATTCTTAAAACATGAGATAAAAAGCCTGTCTACTGGTGCTTGTACCATGTAATATACACTGGGTAACTAGCCATATTTTTTGTATCTAAATTCTATTAGAAAAATTTCATACTGTTGCTTATACTTAAATGCACTACATTTATTTTATCTTATTAAGTGAATCTACTTCAAGTCTGAAAACAGAACTACAAAAACTATATTGCTATGAAACCTCACTAATAATCTACACTGTACACGTCTCATATCAAGCAAATAATTTTCAACTCCCCAAAACATGATAACTCTGCAACAGAGATGATGCATACAGAATATATTGGCTAAAGGTGGATATGAACAGCCTATATAATTTTTCTGTACATTAACTTTTAATGCTACAAAGTATAAGAAACAAAAGGGGATATGCAAATAGGGACATTACTAAAAACCATCTTACAAGGGTTACAACAATGCTGTGTACAGCAAATACTTTCAACATGCAAATATCTGCAATATCATAGTTATTCAACTTCAGTATATACCTAGCCTTGATTTCAAGATTCAGCATATAGACAACCTAAAACAAAGATCATTATTAATGAGGTTTCACAGGATTTTTATAATTGTCAACTTGCTTATCATCAATTGCTTGGTCTGTACCACTTATCCCACAGATACAGTAGAGCGTCAACTGTTCGAGCCGGATGAAGGAAGGCGAATCAATGAAGGCTGGCAAATTTACTCAGCGTCATGATATAAGTCATTCATGACAGACAGAATGACCGGTCATAAAATGTGTTCAAGTCATCTATTTATAGATTATAGCTAAAAGGTAAATAATAAGCTGATTGTGTAACAAATGATATCCCACCATGTACGTACTCCTTTGCGTCTGTCCTTTGTCCTGCAGCATTAAAATTCAAGGAACAGTCAACAACTTACTGTAAAAAAAACTTTAGAATCCTTTGGAATTCTAAATTAGCCTTTTTCTTTCGCTAGGTCAATGACACTAAATAATCTATACGGAAGTTAACTACTACATTTACAACTACTCTTTGTATATGGGTGGGTGGGTTGATGTGGATGTAGGTGGATGTATGGGGATACAGGTATGTGTTTATGTGTATGAATAGCTGAGTGTATTCAAGTGTCTAGATATAGTTATGTAAGATTTCTTAAATACTGGAATAACAACTGTTAACAAATATAATAAATAAATGCTTAAGTTGAGAAGGAAAGAAAAAACAGTTGATGCTCTAATGTTGATTTTTTCATATATTTTGCTTCTCAATCAAACCTGGTGTTCTGGGAGAGGATGATAATCCACACATCACAAAATACATCTCTTACTCTGAAATTCTACTTATATGAACGCTATGATCTTGCACCCATATAGTATACCATAAAGAAACTATCTAAAGACATGCAGAATATCTAACAAAGGTAAGGTCAGGTTCAAATAAACACTTATATCAAGAACTGGGTTTACAAATTTCACAATGTCTAATAGAACACATAAATCTCCTTCAAAACTACAGGGTAACATCTGTACTTTGAGCAAACAATGAGCCTGTAAGTATTATTACATACCCCTTTACGTTTGTCAGTGAAAGAAATTTTGCCGTCCCAGTATCCTTCCAAAGTTGCTAATGTGTCCTTGCCCAACTTTATCTTGCCGCTCACCATGTTGTTTGCTTCATAACCACTAAGGAAGGGCTGGAAGTAAAGTAAAGAAAAAGAAATCATCAGTATGATGTTGATAATGTCAAGAATACTGAAACTTGTCTACTTTGTTTGCCTCAAAACATTTTTGCTGATCATAAAAGGTTATGTGAGGCTGCAAGACATTTTATATGATCTTAACTTGCTCATTATACTCAATTAGCACTAGGAAAAAAATATCTTTGTATGATGTCTACTATACTACCATTTACTTTTACAGTTACAAGGAGTGTAGAGCTCATATCTCCACTCCTAGAATGGATTGAAAGTAATTCAGCCAAACAACTTGCTAGTAGATTATAGTAAAACTAAATCTCTCTTTCCTGGATATCATACAAATATTTAGAATTCTATACACATGTAAGAGACATAAGACACAGGGGGAGAAAAATCCTCATAATATGGCAAGAAACTTACCCTTAGTTTAAATTCTAACTCTGTTCTGTAGCCAGTCTTTTCACACTCAATGGTAACTTTTCCTCCTAGCTCCATGGTCAGAGTTCCCATAAGAATTCCTTTGCAGTGCGCATACGGCATGTTCATGACATAATCCTCTCCACGAGGCAAGAGAGTCAAGAGCACATTGCCGTCCAATATGGCAGATGTGGAGTTACCTATAACAATATTACTATAAAGTTAGTGTGAACATGCATGAAGTTATATATGCAGTTATGAAGCTTGTATTTGTTTGAGGCGAGATTATAAACCCACTGAGTACATGCATTGTCCACTGTAGTTTTGTTTTGTCATTGTCAAACAGAAGGCCTAACAACTGTCAACACCTGTTTACTTTGTTACTTGAGACTTCAAGTAAATGTCTTTCATTTGCAACATCAATCCTGCCATTCACATTATTATCATCATTTTTTTTCTATCGTCATCATTACTCTTCTTCTCTTATTGCTATTCTCCTGATTATCTTTCTTATTATAATTATCACTATTATTATTATCTTTATCACTATTATTGTTATCATTATCATTCTTATTATCATTATCATTATTACTATCATGGTTATCATCATCATCATTATAATTATTATAACAATCATTATCATTAAATACTGTTGTTATCATTATTATCATTATTGATATTATCATCATTTTATCATCATCATTATCATTATCATTAGTACCATTATTATTTCATAATTTTCATGATCAGTAATTATCATCATTTTAATATTTTTATTATCATTATGACCATTACTACAACTAGTATCATCACTAGCACTATCATAATATCATCATTATCATCATCTTTTTATTGCCATTACTAACAATAATTGTTATAGAAAAAATTATTTTCCAAAAATCAAGGAACGAGGTAAACAAGTGAGGCCTAGTAACTTCTTGGTGATGAATCATTTCTGGAGCTATTTATCTGTAAGTAAAGTTCTTAAGCAAAATTCACAATGGACAAGGCAAGCATACATGATCTCCTGACACCAATGGGTGATCTTTTTTTTTTTACTGTTTACATTACAGTACTTCTTGATCCTAAAATAGCAATCAATATTCAATTTGTTGTGTGACTTATTTTAAATGAAAGCAAATCTATACTTGAAGACAACATGAACATGAATGGAATGAAAACATCAATTTAATCAAATTATGATAAGCACTATTCAAATACAATACTTATAAAACAGTAATAATAATCATCAAGCCTACCATAGAATTTTGATTTGGCTAAAACAGTTGCAGTGACAGAGAATCCCTCTTGTCTATTAGTAACATAGACAGCTGATACTGGAGGATGGTGGGATACCTGTAAGACATTAATACAAAATTGATACATCATAATAACTCTTATATTAATCAAATAAAAATTACACATTTATAAAAATGTAAACCTATTAAAGAATACAAGAAAACACTAATACCTGAACAGGAGAATATCTTAAATACAGAAAAATACAAAGAAAATTTTCCAACCTGCTCAGCAACATAGAAAGTTCGTGAACCATTAGGGTGTCTCCAATAGCATCGGAAAGTTTCTCCAAGAATAGGGTTGTAAGGCTTCTTGAGCCCCTTTGGTTTCTTGTAAAATCCTGAGAGGTACCATCTGACAACCTCTTTCATTCGTGTAAAGGGGTCGTCCTCTTGTACTGCTCTGTTCAGATATATTGCAATTGTTAAATATATACATATATCCGACTAAGTGAATCTCAGCTCTTTAAAACTCAAACTGGAACTCAAGATATAAAAAAGACAGAAAATGCACTGTCCACTAATTGACCTATACTAACTTGGGAATGAGATCTGCATGATAGTAATAGTCTGAGAGTTTGTCTAAAAAGGATCTTGGCTCCAGGATGAAAGTTGGCAGCACCACTTTGGAGAGATCCATCCCAGGCCGAACTTGCTTCAGCAAGAACCAAATGAGGGATTTGTTTTCTTCCTCCAACTCCTCTACTTGTTCTCCAGCCTAAAATAAATATTTCAGAGTTAGTATGTCCATGACATATTAGAAAGTACTTGTGACTGACGAAGTCTACCTAATAAACATACTGGGATACTAACATACTTATGCTCACTATCAATCCACTTCATCTAGATAGAATAGACTTAAAAGAATGTGATATGAATTTTATTCTCACTTACTCTAATAATTGAATTACCATTTGTACATTGTTGCAGTAAAATTTTACAAAGGAATAAATTCAGGACTCGGAAGAGTTATGTTGTATGAATGCTATGACAAATCAGGAACATGAAACTGATGAGCAGGAAGCTGGTACCATTGGCTGCAACATCATGCACTATCAATCAGTGTATGACCTGCATATAATGAAAGTTACAAGAAAATATATACGCACAGATCATGTTAAGGATATATATATTGTCTACAGCCCTGACTGCTTCAGAGAATATGCACATCTGCTTTAGCCAGACTTTTTATTTCCCTGCTCACAAGTATGAAAGTGCAAGTTGTACTTACAAACCCACTGTCCTAAGCTTATTTGGGTTATAACATGCAGGTATCATTTACCAATATATGAATTTACTTTCCATCATGCCTAGTTATGGAAAATTATGAAACAAAAACAAATAAGCACACCATATAAAAAATAAAGAGGAAATAAACATTTTCTCAGTAATCAGTAAAATTTCCACCCAGTGGTCAAGAAATGTCCTTCTGACCAACATTACTAATGACTACAATTATTCAACTTCAGACAGTTAGATAGCCTAGCATTCAAATTAATATACTCCATAATAAAATATGATTAGCAATAAATAAATATAGGTAAATACCACAAAAAATATTCATATAAAGAAAAACATCAAGATATCTAATGTCACTGCAGTCTCTTTCCTGAAAGATTATTTTAAAGAATAACATTTAAGACCCTGGAGGAATATAAACAGTTCAAATTGTTTGATTAATGAAGCATATCACAGACATTCCTACTTTAAGAAAATGATAGTATCTTCTTGATCTAAAATGTCCATTCTTTGGGTTAGCAATATTATTCCAATATTAATTAGGGTTATTAAATTTGTAGTCATATCCTACTTTCCTTATACAAGTATAAGGCAAAGCAGGCAGTACAACAAGCTACCTACACAATGAGAGGATTCCCTTCTATTTCTAACAGACAGAAAGGCTATAGAGATGAAAATGTTAAGTATAGGAGAATCCCAGGAAAATGACTTGGACACCTGAAAAGAATGGAGATAATAAACAGACAAAACTAAGAATCTTGGAGTCCTTACAGAGAGGCAAAAGGAACAAATGAGAGATTTACCAATACAATTTCATGCTAATTTTAGAGTGGATAAATTAAGCAAATTATATGATGAAAAAGGTGAACATCAACCCTAGCTTCTACTTCTTTCTGCAAACAGGAATCTATGATGTCAAGAATTAATGAGATCTAAAACAGAACGAAATATTTTATATCTAAATAAGAAATTTCATACCTAGACTATAAACTAAAAAAACAAGTGTTTTTCACACTTCAAATTGTGGTATAAAATTTATGATCATATTCTACCTACATTGCCAAACAGTATACAACTAAAAGTAGAACTAAGGTTAAAGGATGGGTCTCCTGCTATCATTAACCCCTACAATCCGGATGATGTTACAGTCCAGTCATGGAAAAATCTGGGTTGCGGCCCTGGTGACATGAACATGATGTCATTGGGCAAAATAGCTACAGGCTGGGTGATGCAAATTTGCCAATATGAGCGAAAGCCAGGGTGACAGAAAAGACTCGTCTCGAGTGCACAAATGTCTTTGAGTGTGGGTTGATTCATTTGGTACTTTGAAGGGGGGAGCTTTAGCATTATTCTCATCGTTATATGAATGTGGAATGTGACATACATAAACTGTAACTGAAAGAGAGCCAGCTCCAGAGGGGATGCCATTTCCATGCTGTGCACTGTATTTCTGGCCGCTGTGACCAGCAGCCCCGGGATTATTACGAAAAATTGAAAATTATGAAAAAAATGGATTTATGACACTATACTTTTTTTTCTTGCACTGAGTAATTTGCTACCTAGAGAGATGATATGGAGTCTGTGCAAAGAAAATACGCTATTTTCATCTGGATAAAGCAAATCAAAAGACAAATATGGACATTGGTAAATGTTTACACAAAATAACTTTGCAAAGGGGATAAACAGAGGATTGTCACCGCTCATGTGTGTTTGTGCACACCTGGCCTATGCACTGCATGCCCAGGATGTTGGCTAATTACATAACCTACTGCCCATATTTTCGGCACTGTGACTTCTGTGACACAACCAGATCCAATGGGTTAAGTTAGGCATGGTAAAGAGATAGATCAGCCTATTTCCAAATATGGCTAATGTCTCCTTCGTGAGCTTTATTACAATCTCCCTCCCCCCCAAAAAAGGATGGCTAAAGCAAATTTGCTCAATTGAAGATTTATTTTCAATAGTATGTGGTCCTTGATTTTTGCCTGATACTAGCATTCAATTCAACAATTAACAAATCTGAGAAATTGGATAAGTAAATACATAGATTCATAGTTTATTTAGAAGAAAAATTTTCATCATATATTATAGTAGATATAGTAGTAACGTAGTTGTATGAAACGATAACCTAAAAACTACTCAGAAAGTTTCAGATGAAAAAATATGAAATGTAATACTGATGTAATGTAAAAAAAAAAAAAGTAAAACACTTCTTTTCTCTACCTTATTTATGGACACCAAGTAAATATGACAAAGTTTTCAATCTTGGGAAAAATAACTTGTACTTAATGATACTCTATCTTGAAAACCTAATATGCCCTTAAAGCTTTTATATCTACTATTGCTTGTGTTTATAATGACAGCAAACTTAGTTGAAAAGTACCCTTACAGAAATGCACTAAGTAAGCTTTGCCATGGTTAAAGCAAACTTACTCTCACTCACCAACAAAACATCTGCGGGTACTTCACAATACATGAGATTGGGATTCAGTCAATATATATCAGTATCCTGTTTGTATGTAAAAAATATAAAAAATAGGAAAATGTAGAAAGAAAAATTAAGATAGGCAGACATGTACAAATACATACATGTATATAAAATGCATACATGCTACACCACCACCAAAAAATACCCAAGAAAGCACACATGTACACACGTACACATAATCACACGCACACTCACATATGTACACACACAAGAAACACGCATACAAGACTTCCATTTGAAAAGTGAGGCACGTCATGCTCACCTCTCCCATTTCCCCTTCAAAATTAGGCACGTAAGGAGATTCTGTTGGAGTCATCTCATCCTCCCTGTCATACTCCTCGTCTTCCCTCGGCTCCTCGTCGCCCTTGTGGGAGCCGTCCTCGGACTCTGACTCTGTTCCTGACATGGCATCGGCTCCAGAAAAATGCCCTGACTCACGGTGATGTTCATTCTCATCTGTGTGGCTTGCATCATCCAGGTCTGTGGGGTTTAGGAGAGGGAAGGGTAAGGTCTGCAGGTTTAGGGAAGGGTTTTAGGATGGAACAGGTGGCATCAGGACAAAAATGTGGGATCAAGTACAAGCATTACCCAGCATTTTACTCTTAGCTGCCAAAGGGTCTTATAAGAGC